TGGGTGGGTGGATGGATGGGTGGGTGGATGGGTGTTTGGGCAGGTGGATTCGTGGTTGGTTGAATGGATGGGTAAGTGGATAGTTACATGAGTAAGAAGATGGGTGGACGGAGGGATAGATGGATGGTCAGAATGATGCATGGTGGCTAGAATGTAGGAGAGTGCGTGCACAGTGGATGACAGGTTGATAGATGATTGACAGGTGACAGGCACCTTCGCCAGGTCGACACCTCAGGTCTCCTGTCCTCTCTGTCCTCCCTGCACATTTGCTCCGTCGAAAMGATCACACCTGGGGGACATGGGCGACCTCTCCTGACTGTGTGCAATGCCTAGAAAGTGACCTCGGGAGGCAGCATGGCCAKCTGCTCCCTGCAGGATGCTRGCCGCCTTTGATGGCCGYAGCTSTGTGTGACATGTAGGCTGCTCGGTTCTGCGTGTTCACTGCAGGTCAGCCTCGGGCCCCAGGTGGACACCACAGTTAAGAAAGCGCGGGCTTCTCAGGACGTCTCCAGGGTGGACGGTCCCCTGTTCACGGGTTTGCCTTTCCCTCCCCCCGCAGCAGCCTGTCCATTGTCACAGCATGCATGCATTTGAGAGTTTGGGGGCATGCAATGTCCCCTGGACAGATGGACACCAAGAGGCGCTGCTGTACCAGCTGCACTGTCTGCGAGAGGGGCCCACTCACCCTGCCACCATTTCGAAGATGAGGATGCCCAGCGCCCACCAGTCCACGGCCCGCCCGTGGCCTTTGCTCTGGATGACTTCAGGGGCGAGGTATTCGGGGGTCCCGCAGAGGGTCCAYGTCCTKGGAGGGCAACAGAGAGGAGCACGGGGAGGTCAGCGGCTGCAGGGACACAGGGCATCGGAATGTCCCCACCCAGCTCCTCANTGGGCACACACGCACGCACACACGCACGCACACACTCAGGCACACACGCACAACCTGTGGTTACGAGCCGGCGGGTCTGGTGGCAAGTTCTCGAGTCCAAGAAAACCACCCAACGCACAGTAGAAGCACAGCTGCTAACAGGTTACGATTAAAAACCCCCACAACCCGTTTCCTAGGCGCAGGAGAAGATTCCAGTCGCTTCCATAATTGCCCCGTCYGTGAAATCTCAACTGTCCCCCRACCTCTGTATACAGATGGGMGTCCATAAGTGCGCAAAGTCCTCCTCGCACCAAGAGAGCATTTCTTCGGCCGATGGAGGTGTAGTTCTTGCTCCTGGGCAGGCTGACGTGTTCCTGGAAGGAGAGGGACAAGGGATGGAGTCAAGGTTTCCGCACCGCTGGACACGGCTCCTAGTTATCGTCTTGAGAGTCATAGAAATGTCTCCCTTTCATAGGTAACAAGGCAGGGCCCCCAAGTCCTCCGTCCAGTTTCAGTTACTGTGGTGCAAAGGTAGCACTGGAAAATTCCACGAAAAAAACATCCAGAACATCATGTGCCAATCTGGGCAGCGCCCTCTGGTGTTCTACCTTGGAACAGCACCTCTGCCCAGTGTTTCCACCCTGTATAGCTACCCTCCCTTTAGTCACCTCGGAACTTTCCTGATAATCAGACTGGACGTCACGGTGGTACAACAGTGCATTTGATGGTGACACAGGCCATATTACTACAGTATAATGCTGTAACTGATCTACCTTACTTAGGGTTCGGTACTTTCTGAAGTTGAGCACCAAACGCCAGTCATGGAACRTAATCCCGTAGGTATAAGCAATGACTGATATTTAAAAAGAAAAAGGAAAAAAAAAATGACCTTTAGAAG